GTGGTTACACGCATGAAAGGCGGTTCTTTTTTAACATTGTGTTCTCGCCAGAGATTTCTTCAACCGAGGTTGCTACAGGTTTGAATTGTGCAACAGCTACACGGATGGAATTTGGCTCATGTTCAACGTTGGGTTCACGTCAGAGACCACTTCCCAAGTGTGCAACAACTACACGGGTGTTCGGAGGCTCCATTATGAATGCGGGGATGCTGTTTTTCAATATTTTGAGTTTTGCCGCTTAAAGTAAAAAAAAAGGCGAGAAAGGGAGGAGGAGGAGGAGGCGCAGGAACCGGGCGCCGAAACTCGGACTGCGGAAGACCCTTGGCGCGATTGTTTTCGAAGAGGGATGGAGATCGATGGGGGCCTGAGAGGAGGGCCACGAGACGCGCCGTCGGGAGGCCGATGAACCGCCGGGAAAGGATAAGCGACGACGACGACGACGACGAGCACCAGTGTCGAACCTGTCAACGACGTCGGAAGAAGTGCGGGGCTCTCGCCCGCCTAGCGCCCGAAAGGACTACGCTGTGGAGGCGGCGGCGCGCTACCCCGGAGGAGCGCGCGCCGGGGGGGGGGTGCGGGGCCCGATTGCAGCAAGTACGGACGCGCGTCTGTTTCGGACAGCGTTCGAGGGGGACGCGTCTGTGTTCGAGGCCTTCGAGGCTGGAGGTTTTCGGCTCCCTCGGCCTGGAGGCTTTCGAGGCTTTCGAGGCTTTCGAAGCTTTCGAGGCTTTCGAGGCTGGAGGCTTTCGAGGCTCGAGGTTTTCGAGGCTGGAGGTTTCTTCCGCTGCCGCGCCTCGCCGCGTGCTTTCTGTGGGTGCCCAGGTCGCCCCGAGTGGCCGCCAGGGGACCGAGCTCTGGTCTTTGAGGAGGAAGGGGTGCAGTTAGCTTTATGTCGGGCGTGTCCCCCTACATGGGGGATTTTCGACGAACAATAAACATACCCCAAAAATACACCCAAAAAGGTCAAACCATATTCAAACAATAGTCCCCAAACTATTTTTGGACTACTTTTTGATTCGTTTGGGGCTATGTTTTATTTTTCGTCGAAAATCCCCCTGTAGGGGGACAGGCCCGACTTAAAGTTAGCTGGTGGGGGTCGGTCCACAGGGGGGGGGTACCAGCTCCCCATCGCCCCTTCCTCGCCGATAGAGGGGCCCGATGGCCCGCGCCGCCGGGGGGCCGCGATTGGGGGGGGGTCACCGCCGGCCTGCCTGCGACGTCTTTCTACCAGGCGATCGCAAACAGGGATCAAGGGGGGCGTGGATTAGCGAAGGGTCCCGTTTCCACGGGAAATCGCCGGTTTCCGCCGCCGAGCGAGGCGGCACCGGCCGCATTTAGAGGAGGGCACCTCCCCCGATCGATGGATTTGGCGACCGCGCGCCAAATCGATGGATCGCTAATCCATGTTTGCGCGCCCCCGATTCTAGGCCTCCCACATGGGGTTCCGAGTGGATGGGGTCGGAGGATCGCGCCGTATCGCCGATGCATCGGCGATGCGGCTCGATGTGAAGCACGATTTTCCCCACGCCGGCGTCGCGGAACGTCGCCGATGCATCGCCGGTGCATCGCCGATACATCGCCGACGTGTCGGCGATGCGGCCCGATCCTCCGACCCCATGTGCTCCGACCCCATCTAGGAGGCCTCTAGTATTGTCGATTCCAGGTCGATGTCCCCCCCCCCCTGAGCCAGTTCCCTCCCTGACGCTTCCCTGCGTCAGCAGCGAGCAGCAGTCAAGAAGCACGGCGTGTGTTCGTCGGGGCGCGTCGGTGTTTCTGCGCTCCGCGCGGTGCGCGGTGGCACCCTTGCGCGGGCGACACGCGACTACTGCATTCGGGGTGCCCCAGGTTTCCCCCCAGTTGCACCTCGCGCGCGGATGTTCAGGGTTGGGTTTTCTGCGAGGTCTTTTGTTGCAACCGCGTCCGTTTTGTATCAGCGCGGCGGGGGTCAGCGCCAGCCAGCGAGCGGTCGGACGCAGCCCCCATCGCGACTGGAGCGCAACGCCGATGTAGGGACCAGCGCGGCACGCGCAGCGGTGCCGGCACGCGCAGTTCGAGGGCAGCGGCACGGGCGTCGAAACGAGAATCTCCGCCGTCCTCTGCGTTCCCCCCCTGGGGTCCTCTCTTTTCCCCTTCCTCCCCGCCCCCCCTCCTTCCCCCCCCCCCTCCTCCCCATCCTCGCCTGGCCGTTCCCCGTTCCCCCTCCCCCCCGGGCTCTTCCTCCCCCTCCCCTTTTCTCCCCCGTGGCCCTGCAACCTGCCCTGCCTTCCTGCTCCCCCCTCCCCCCCCCTTTCCCGCCCGCTCCTGGGGCTCGGGGCCGACGCGACGGCGACGCGGCCCCGCAGGTGTCAACAGGCGGGCACCGTGCCTCCGTCGCGGTGGCATCTTTGGGGGGGCTCCTGCGGGCCTCTCGAGGGCCCGAGGGGGGGCTCGTTGAGGGGCCTCGCGGGAGCCTCTTGGGGGGGGCCTCTCGGCGGGCTCCGGGGCAGGTCTGGACCTGAGCGGTTGTGTGGTGATTTCGTGGGCCGTTCTCGTTTCGACTTCGTTCTGCGGCAGCGGCGGGTTGCAGACACAACGAGGGGAAACGACAACAGAACGAAGACGAACAGCACCGTTTAGGTTCAGCCCTGTTCTGGGGGGCTCTTGGGCGCCGGCTGACGGTCTCGGGGGCCATCTTGGGGCGGCGGGCTCGACAGGTTCGTGTTCCCCCTCTCGGGCCCCTCCTGGGGCCGTCTCGGGGAGATCTTGGGTGCCTCTTGGGCTGTCTTGAAGCGTCGGTAGCCCGAAAAGGCACAATCTTTCATATCCATTTTAAAGCTCATCGGACATCAATACATTTGGCATCTTAAGCCCTCTTGAGCGGCCTCTTGCAGCTTTCTTTGGGCGTATTTGGGGCCTCTTGAGTCGTCTTTGGTCCGTCGTGGGTTATCTTTGGTTATCTTTGGGCCCTCTCGAGGACCATCTTGGGCGCTTCTCGGGAGACTCTTGCAAGTTCGTCGGGTTGTTCTGGGCGGATTCACCGTCCTGGAGGCCGACGCGGTACACATCCCCAGGAGCACCCAAGAACATCCAAGAGCTGCCAGGAACGCCCAGAAATTCTGGGGAAATCGCTGTCCTGGCCCTCAAGAATGGTACAATCCGCCACCCTTGTACACCTGCATGAGCCTTGGGGCACTCCACTTCGTGCTGAAGGCACCGTGGCGGATGTACGCAGGTTTTCCCTCCCGCTCTCCACAACAACGGAATGTTGCTGATGTGCATGTATATACATGTGTGTGTCTGAACATACGAATCCTTCTCTCTTACTCCCTCTCTCTTTCTCTCCCCCTATGTTCCCTCCTTGTGTACAGTGTCTTTGTCGCGGTCTGTCTTACTATATATATAGATCTCTCTCTTTCTCTGTGTCTGCGCCAGTATGCCTGTATGTTCTTGCATGCCTGTATCACAGTGTACGGTCTTGGCTGCCTGCCTGTCTGTGTGTCTGGCTTGCTGGCTAGCTGCCTGCCTGCCTGCCTGTCTCTGTTGCTTCATCATTATATTTCTCTCTCCCTCTCTCTACATGTGTTTATTTCCATGTTTTTGTTCGTCTCTCTCTCTCTCGCTCTTGTTGTTCTCTCTCTGTCTCCCTCTCGCTCCCCATACCTGCATAATCTTTCTCTCTGTATACTTTGTTTGTTGTGTTTGTTGTTTCTCTCTCTTGTCATCTTTCTCTTTTGTTTTTCTCTCTCTCTCTCTCTCTCTGTGTCTCTCGCTGACGGCCTTGGCGAGCATTGTGAGCAGGCCTCCTCCTCCCCCTCTCCTTTCTCATTGTCGTCCACCCTCCTTGCGCACGCGCCTCCCCGCACCTGCGAGCGCCGCATCCCGGAGCCCGCCCCCCAGGGAAGCCGGCGTGGGCCGACCCGGACAGCGCCAGGCAGGAGGCCCCAAAGGCCAGCGTGGGCCTGGTGCTGAAGCACCTGACGCCGAACCACCGGGAGCTGGTGGAGGTCTCAGGGGAGGCCAGACGTACCCCAGAACAGACGTACCCTGGAGTGGGGGCCTCGGGGCCCGCCTCGTGGCGCCCAAGATTGCGCTTTGGCGACCGCCGTGGCTGGATCCATGGCCGCTGCGACACCTCACTGGGGGTACGTCGTCCTGTGGGTACGTTTGGCCCTTGCCAGAGGTCATCGCCAGGCACCAGCTCGAGGGCGGCGGGCGGACGGGCATCTCGAGGAGCAAGCTGCTCATCCTCACCAGCCAGAGGACGAGACGAGCGAGCCATTCGCACGCGCCCAAGTCCCCAAGGTGGGACGGACGGAGGGGGGGCTGCGGGTGCGCGTGGTCGGAGGGGGCCCACGCTCGGACGGGAGCGCCCCCCGGGGTCCGACAGCCCGCACCCACACCCGTAGCCCGTCCTCCCTCCAACGTCCCCCCTATGGGTGTGGGCCATGTGCTGCGCGCTCGTCGAGAGGATGATCGCGGGCACGACGGCCAGGCTCGCGACGCTGCTCAACGAGCTGCAGGACCACGAGATCGTCGCGCTCAAGAGCGCCTCGGACGGGGGGGCCCGGGCCTCGGCTGCTGCCGATCGCGCCGTCGAGATCGGCGCATCCATCGCGTCGGTCGATGTTATGATTAATTAGCTCGGGCCTGTCCCCCTACAGGGGGATTTTGGAGGAGAAATCAAAAATACGTACCCCAAAATACTCGAAGCAAATTCACAAATAGTCCAAAAGTAGTCCCCAGACATCTATTATTATTAGCATCATCATTATTATTATGATGATTATTATTATTTTTTCTTATTCTTATCATTGTCATCATTATTTTTTCATTATTTTCATCATTATTATTATCATGATGATGATGATGATTATTATTATTATTATTATTATTATTATTAGTATTATTATTATTGTTATTATTATTATTATTATTATTAGTATTACTAGTATTATTGTCATCATTATCATTATTTATTTATTTATTTATGTATTTATTTATTTATTTATGTATTTATTTATTTATTTATTATTATTATTATTATAAGTTTGGTTTCTTGGTTTTTTTTGTTTGTACTATTTTTGGGTATTCCTCCTGCAGAGGGGCAGGCCCGACTTCTGTCGGTCGCCACAGCTGCGATGCCGAGGCAGCGGGGCCACTCGGCGGAGGCGCGCCGTCAAGTCCGCGATGCCGCGACGTGCCCGCAAGAGCGCGCGGCGAGGGGCGGCCCGCGGAGCGGGCCCGTCGGGGTAGCTCTGACCTCGGCGTCGTCTGCCGATTTCGGCGTCGCTTGAGGGAGGGAGGGAGGGAGGGAGGGAGGGAGGGAGGGGAGGGAGGAGGAGGGAGGGGGAGAAGGAGGAGAGAGGAGGAGGAGGAGGAGGCGGAGGGCGGAGGAGGAGGCGGGGAGGAGGAAGAGGAGGAGGAGGAGGAGGGGAGGAGGAGGAGGAGGAGGAGTAGGAGGAGGACGGAGGAGGAGGAGGAGGAGGAGGAGGAGGAGGAGAGGGGAGGAGGAGAGGAGGAGTGAGGAGGAGGAGGAGGAGGAGGAGGAGGAGGAGGAGGAGGAGGAGGAGGAGGAGGAAGGAGGAGGAGGGGGGAGGGAGGAGGAGGGAGGAGGAGAGGGAGGGAGAGAGGAGGAGGATGAGGAGGAGGGGGAGGGAGGGAGAGTGGAGGGGGGAGGAGGAGGAGGGGAGGGAGGGAGAGAGGGGAGGGGAGGAGGGAGGGAGGGAGGGGGAGGGAGGGAGGGAGGGAGGGAGGGAGGGAGAGGAGGGAGGAGGAGGAGGAGGAGGAGGGAGGTGGATGGAGGAGGGGGTTGTGGGGTTGCGACGGGGGGAAGGCCTGAGGCCCGCCGCAGACATCGTGTCGTGCCGGTGCGGCGGCGGCCCCGCCGCGGGTGCTCGAGGAGTGGAGCGCCGCCAGGCGGCCCATGACCGGCCAACGCGGGACGACCTGGCGATCGAGAAGCCGGTCGTTCAAGACTGAACGGTTAGGGGGCCACATGCGAACCCTACCCCTACCCCCCACGATTGCGAAGGGGGAGGGTGGGGTTCGCTTCGCTCGCGAGCTCCCGAACGAAGTGAACCCCACCCTCCCCCTCAGAAATCGTGGGGGGGTAGGGGTAGGGTTCGCATGTGGCCCCCCAACGGTTCGCGGGGGCCGCCCAGGCACGAACCTGCCGTGCGCGTGTAGGTTTGGTTCACGGCACGGTTGGGGGGCGGCCTCAGTCGGGCCCCCAGGTGCTGTTCTTGTCGGCGCTCGCACGCTCGCGCTCGCCGAGGGAGGGCGCCCGTGTGCATCAGTCGGGTGGCCGTGCTGGAGGTTCCGCGAGGCTCGCGCCCCGTGTGTGGAGCGACCTGGCGATATCGAGGAGCCGCCGCTTGTGCCAGGTCGAGCGGCCCACGCGGTGCCGTAAGCCAGCGCTTAAGTCGGGCCTGTCCCCCGACAGGGGGATTTTCGACGAAAAATAAAACATACCCCCAAAATAGTCCAAAAATAATAAAAAAAATAGTCTGGGGACTATTTTTTAGTATAGCTTGACCTTTTTTGGTGTATTTTTAGGGTATTTTTCGTTTTTCGTTGAAAATCCCCCTATAGGGGGACATGCCCGACTTAAGCCAACGCCCGAGTCGGCACGACACAAAGCCTGCCGTAGAGTGGCCGGGAGCAAGGGACGGGCGCAGGCTGGGCGCGATCGCGTGAGCCCTGCCTGCCGCCCCGTGGGGTCTATCACCACTTGCGACAGCCTGCCCCTGCGGGTCCAAAGGGCGCGGTGCCGATGATGGCGACGAGGACGATGGCGATGACGATGACGGTGACGATGACGATGTGGATGGTGATGGTGATGATGCTGATGGTGATGATGTTGTTGATGGTGATGATGGTGATGATGATGATGATGATGATGATGATGATGATGATGATGATGATGTTGATGCTGATGACGATGATGATGTTGATGTTGATGTTGATGTTGATGTTGATGTTGATTTTGATGGTGATGATGATGATGATGATGATGATGATGATGATGATGCTGATGATGATGATGCTGATGATGATGATGATGATGCTGATGATGATGATGCTGATGATGATGATGATGATGATGATGATGATGATGATGATGATGATGATGGCAATTCAGATTTGGATGACGATGATGATCATCGTCACCGTCACCGTCATCGTCATCGGATCTCTGGCCTGTCTTGATCAGAGGTCTGGCCTGCAGGGCTGAAGGGTTCACACAGGCGGGTGACCCGGCGGGAGACCCAGGCTTCCCAGGGCTCTCGGCCCTCTCCTCGCCCTGGCTCCGCCCCCGGCCGTCTGAGGCAGCTGCCGCGGGCCCAGGCCTCCGTCGACCCGAGCCTTGCCCAGTCGCCGGCCCGTAGAGCTCTCGACGCCTCTCAGAGAGCTCTCGACGCCCCTCAGAGAGCTCTCGACGCCCCTTAGAGAGCTCTCGACGCCCCCTTAGAGAGCTCTCGACGCCCGCTCCTTGCTTCTGTGTTCTTGCTCCCTCGCGAGCCGTCCCTGGCGGTCCCCCGGGGGCCCCTCCGCCACGGCGGGAGCGTTCCGGAGGGGGGCGCCCCAGGTCCGTGGGCCAGCCGGGGCCGCAGTCGGGGCCGAGGCGAGGCCCGCCCTGGCTCCGCAGCGGGCCCGATGGCTCCTCCTCCTCCTCCCTCCTCCTCCTCCTCCCTCCTCCTCCCTCCTCCTCCTCCTCCTCCTCCTCCTCCTCTCCTCCTCCTCCTCCTCCTCCTCCTCCTCCTCCTCCCTCCTCCTCCTCCTCCTCCTCCTCCTCCCCCTCCCCCTCCCCCTCCCCCCCCTCCTCCCTCCTCCCTCCTCCCTCCTCCCCTCCTCCCTCCTCCCTCCCTCCTCCCTCCTCCCTCCTCCCTCCTCCCTCCTCCCTCCTCCCCCTGCGCGGGGGCGCCCAAGCGGTGCGGTGGCCACACCGTGAGGTGAGTCGGTGGAGATGCAGGCTCGCCGCACGGTTTCGGGGCTCGGGCCGCTCTCCGGGGACGTCCTGGGCGACTGGGGCCTCCAGGGTCCCCCAACCATGCAGTGACGGACCGTGCGGCGTGGTCGTGAGGGAGGGCTCTCGAGGTCACCGCACAGCGTGCCACCCCACACAAGCTTGGGACTCCCAGCTTGCGCCCCTCGTGCGCGCAGGCGCAGCCGAGGGCCAGGAGGCGCTCCGCTGCGGAGCGAGCCACGCGCATCCATGCCCATATGGGGGGACGGAGGGAGCTGCGGGTGCGTGCTGTCGGATAATGGGGTCTCCGCTCGAGCGGGGGCCCCACCCGGGGCCTGGCAGCCCGCACCCCATCCCACACCAACAGCCCGCCCTCCTCACTCCGACCCCCCCTCCCATGGGTACCCATGGGAGTGTGGGCGGCGCGGCCCGGGGGGAGGGTGAGCGGGGGCGGGCCTGCTCAGCAGCTGGCGGGGCTTCCTCGGGAGCCCCTCGCGGCCTCCTTCGGGGAAGAGGCCCTCGCAGACGTCTCGCAGGCCCCCGAGGCCTCCCGAGCCTCCCGGGCAGGCCCGCCCCCTCTGCCCCCCCTGGCTCGCGGCCGACAGCAGGGGCCCCGCTGCCTCTCCGGGGCCCTCTGGCCTGAGGCCGCCCTCCTCGGCACGGGGGGCGGGCGCGCGCGGCGCCGCTCCCGCGCCTGCTCCTGGTCGCGGCAGGCTCCTGACCTCTTTTCGGGAGCGGAAAAGAGGGGGGTGATGAACAGGAGGGGGGTGTATTTCATGGCGCGGGCCATGATTTTCCCCCAGATTTCATGGCGCCTGTTCTTATTTCATTACGTCCCAGGCCCCCCCGCTGGGCCGCGCACATGCCGCCGGTCATGATTTGCACCCCCCCTCTTGGACACCCTCCTCTTGGCCGCTCCCGATGACCTCTTTGGGACGACGTTCTCGAGGTAGGAAGGGGGTGTGGCACAAAGGGGTATGGTGCCAATGTCGAGCCCGGCGGTGCCATGTACCGTGGGTAATATCTCGGTTTCCACGCTTGGCACCACACCCCTTGATGCCAGAACCCTTTCCGACCTCCAGGGACGTCAGCTTGGAGCCAGCTCGGGTCCAAGCTGAGGTGGTCCACCACCTGGTTCCGGCCAGCAGAAGCCCAGACCCCCCGCGAGTCATGAAACAAACGCGACGGAAGGTTGATCGTCATTTTCGGCCTTTGGGGGCCCTTACCGGGCCTCGGGACTGTCCAAAAACGACTTCAGATGAAAACTGTCCCAGGGACTGGGTCGAGACCTCTGGGGGTCGACGCTATGGGAAGGAGGGAAGGAGGGAAGGAGGGATACGGTCAGGAACTTTGGGAAGGAGGGATACGGAGGAAGAGGTTTTGGAAGGAGGGAGGGGTTGGGAAGGAGGGATGCATGACGTCGGGCTTTTTTTTCGTAAGGAGGGATGCAGTCAGGAAGCGTGGCTTAGCGTGTCGCTCCGCCGGTCCTGGCCCAGACGCTGCGGCGCGGCATGCCATCCGTTTCCCCGTCCCCAAGTGAAGGGCCCCCAGGAAACACAAATACATACACACACATGAAACAAACATTCCCCATATGTTCCTATATTTTCTGGGCTTTGTCTTCCCCCCCACTTCCCATATTTTCCCACATGTTCTGGTGAATCGAGGATGAGTTGTGTCTTTGTGTTTCTTTTCCTCCTGACCCAGGCTCGGTGGCCCGAGCTGTTTTCCCCGCCTCCCGCCCCGCGGGGCGGTGCGGCACGGCAGCCGCTCGCAAGGCGCAGCGGCGTCGCCGGGGCCGCCGCCGCGACGAGCTGCCCGTGTGTCGGCTCCCAGCCGCGGGGGCCCCTCTGGTCACCACAGCTGGGCGCGGCTCAGGAGGAACTTGGCCAGTCTCGACCCCGGGAGGGGTCCGAGGATTGGTTTTCGAGCGGATTTGCCCTCGCCCCCCCACCCCCCTCAAGAATCGGGTCTGTCTCGACCCCAGGAGGGGTCCAGGGATTCATTTTCGAGCGGATTTGCCTTCGCCCCGCTCCCCCCTCAAGAACTGGGTCCGTCTCGACCCCAGGAGGGGTCCAGGGATTCCTTGTCGAGCAGGTTTGTTCTCGCCCCCCCCCCCCCCCTCCTTGACCTTGACCGATTCCCTCGGGGCCCACCCGGCGCAGACCCCCCAAGGCCGCTTTCAAACGGCCAGCCGTGCAATTGCCAGATGAGCTCGAGGCACGCCTCCGCGCATGACTGTCGGGCCGGGCGAAAGGGGCTCACGAAATTTGCTGCATGCAGCTGGTTTAGGCCTCACCGAGGGGCCCATTCCTAGATACATAGCCACCTCCGGCGCCGGGAGGCGCCGGGAAAATCAGCTACGTGAGCTGATTCTCCCCCCCCCCCTTTGCTATCCCCCCCTTTCGCCCGACCCGAGACTGGCACGCGGGGCAGCGCGCATCGAGCTGGTGTGGTGCATGGTTTCAAGCAGTGGCGAAGCGTCCTGGCCTGCCTACAGGCCCACCGAAGAATGGTCTAAGAACAGCTTGTGGTCTGCACGAAGCGTTCTTGGAACATTGCTGGCGGGGACCGTCTTGGTTGAACGCATCGGGCCTATGTTTAAGTCGGGCCTGTCCCTCTACAGGAGGAATCTTCAACAGTAGTAAAAAACAATCGGGAGACACGTTTTGTTTTGTTTTTGCACTTTTCTAAAACTAGTTTCAATTTCGCATCGAAAATCGGCCTGTAGGGGGACAGGCCCGACCTGAGCCTATGCTCTACGAACACTGCTTCTCCTCTTAGAACATTCAAGGTGGTTCTAAGACAAGCTCGTGGTAGGCCCACAGGAATGCCGGGACGGCCGGTCCCTGCTCAACGACCGGCGTCGTCCATGACATGCTCATGCGCTCCGACGTCCGCTGCCGCGCCCCCTATGAGGCGCCCGATCTCCGCGGGCCCCTCGTGGCAGGCCTCTGGGCCGCCGCGGCCAGCAGCTGCGAAGGGGGGCCCGGCGCGGCGCGCACCTCGCTGCGGAGCAGCGGGGAGGCGTCGGGGGCGGCAAAGAGAGGGGTGATGACTAGGGGGGGGGGTGGATCTCATGGCGGGGGCCATGATGTTTCCCCAGATTTCATGGCGCCTCTTCTTGTTCCACTCCGTCCCTGGCCCCCCCGCTGGGCCGCGCGCATGCCGCCGGTCATGATTTGCGCCCCCCCCTCTTTGACGCCCCCCTCTTTGCCGCTCCCGAGAGGCGGAGCCTGCACACAGAACGGGGCGTGGCGCCCCTTTCGCACTGGGCGCTTTTGCCCGGCTTCGGGCCCTGAACAGATCGACCCGGCCCGGAAGACGCAGCAGACTGGTGGGGTCCGGGGCTCCAGTCGCGGCTTCGCGCCACGCTGCAACTGTGCCCGCCACGTCGAGATATCTCAGGGCATGGCGAGGCCCTGCGGCACGCTCCCCGCCTCCTCCCCGTCGGCACTCCGAGATGAACGGATGCGGTCAGTCCGCCGCGCACCCCCGCGGCCGCCGCGCGCATCCGGCGGGCGAGGCTCTGATCTATCTCCCGTACGACACGAACACCGTCCAAAGGCTCTCCGAGCTCTCCACCACGCCGTTCGACGAGGAGGATCGTTCCTTCGGCGTCTGGTGAGTGCGACCGTCCTCTCGTCGTCGTCGTCGTCGGCGTCGGCGTCGGCGTCGGCGTCGGCGTCGGCGTCGGCGTCGGCGGCGTCGTCGTCGTCGTCGTCGTCGTCGTCGTCGGCGTCGTCGTCGTCGTCGTCGTCGTCGTCGTCGTCGGCGTCGTCATCGTCGTCGTCGGCGTCGTCGCCGCCGCCGCCGTCGCCGCTGCCGCCGCCGTCATCATTTTCCTCCTCCTCCTGCGGCTGCTGCTACGCTCGCGCTGGCAAAGGTCGCCATCGCGTCCACGACGCCGCGCGCCCGCGGCCAGCCGAGGGGGTCGAGGAGGCAAGCACCCACGCACCATCCTCCACCTCCTCCTGCTGTTTCTCCTCCTCCTCCTCCTCCTCCTCTTCCTCCCCCTGCTACTCCTCCTCTTCCTCCACCTGTGTAGCCGCTTTGGCTCAGAATGATTTGTCCCCCAAGGGACGATGTGGATGCCGCTAGTCCGCGGCCAGCATCTTTCAATTTACACTTCTGTCGGGGACGGCCGACCGCGCTGCCAGCGCAGTGGTCCGCACTCTCATCAGAACCGCAGCTGCTCCACATTGGTGAGTCCATGCCCGATGGTACGCGCAGAGCCAAGACAGTTGTGGGCCCCCCAAAGAAGAAACTTGTGGACGGCTGCCCAGCCGCTGGTTCTGCTCCTGGTGCTGATCAAGATGAAGCTCGGATTCGGTTTTGGTGCGGGCGCAGGCAGCGAAGGTGATGGACCCGAGGACCTCTCGCAGGAGAGCTGGTACGACGACCACGTTCGGGAGCTCGTGCGCATTGACATTCGCAAGTTTTTCGGCCAGTTCAGACTGAAGTGCGAGCAAGCTTTCGCCAACACCGCAGCCGCCGCCACCCAAGCGGCCGCGGCCCCCATTGACGAAACATTACGACAGCTCGCCGACTCCATCAAGGCGGCCCCTGGAGAACCCGCTGCACCAGCCACAGTCCGCATCATACCCGAGCTCGATGACCTTGAGAAGCGCATCCAAGCCCTAACCCGACAAATTCAGCAACTTGCTTAGCACACAGGGCAGGAAGCTGGACGACCACGAGAAGCAGCTCGCCGACCTTCAGCTGCAGATGTGGCAGGTGCGCAAGGACTTGGCTCTCGCCAGCCGAGCCCCGCAGCCGCCCAAATCCGCAGACAGGAATGTCAAGCGAGAGGGCGACCCGACGATCTTTAAGCTTGCGGCAGCTACTCTGTCTGGTCACTCGCGACGCGGCATCCCAGTCCCACGACTCCTGGCCCAGGGGCTTGGACTTGGTCGGCACCTACTGGAAGCTCTGCGTGGTGCGGTTCACAGGGGCAGCAGGCATTGCCGCTCGCCGCGTGCAGCAGGCCTTCGGGCGCCTCAAGAACACGGGCGGGTGGGTTCGCCTCCCAGTCCCAGCTGCGGAAGGACCATCCACGCAATCACGTGTTGGGCCCGACAGATTTCCGCGCCAGATCCGCGCCGAAATCCAGAGCAAGCGCAAGTTCTTCTTCGATCGCAGCAACGGCTGGGCATCGGAAGGGCGGGCGCCGCTACTCCGACTCCAGCCGGCACCGCGGCGCGATCCCACCGCCGTGCCCTGGAACCCCGTGGGCTGCGAGGACAAGAAGAGCCGCGAGCGCGCGCAGCTTTACGACCTCGCCCGCCACGTCGTCTGCCCAGATGCGCGACGCGAGTGGAGCCTTCCTGGCATATCCCTCCAACTACAACGCGAGGTGTATCTGGGGTATGCTACGCCGACGACGTCCAGGAAAAGTATTGCCTTCGCGACATGGGGCGCTCGTGCTCTACTTCGCTGGAGGAGCGGCATGGCCGTCGAGAGTGCGGACTACCTTCTGCGCGACCCACTCGCATCTTCGTCGCGATTCAGAAGGTCCACCAGAACAAGCAGCAGGCGGAAGTCTTCATGGGGGGGATCACACCACGCTCGAGGATTTTCTGCTCATTTTACGACCGCGCTGATAGGCGCCAGAAGGGCGGGGTGGCCACCGCCGTGCCGCTCGCGGATGCGGCCGCCCGCGCAGCAAGGACAATCACGCATGCCAGAGGGCGCGCGCGGAAAGTGATCGCCAAGAGAGGGGGCACCCAACTCCGCCACCACGACATCCACGACCATGACATCTCCCTGCGCCAGATCCAGGCCACCGTGGAGGCTCTGTCCACTGCGTGGTTGGGCGCGAGCAGCTCCGAGCAATAGATTGTTCATCGCGGCGGGTGACAGGAAATTCGCGGCCTTCGCCCGCCTGGGTCTACGCTGGCCGGGCCGCCAGCTCCCGTGCCAAAACGCACTGCACCTGCAAGTGCCGCGTCGCCCGTTGGAAGCAGGTTCTCGATGCGCCAGCCGAGCCCGCCGCGGACGACTCAACTTCTACACGGGCGCGGGTGACCTCCCCGGCCTGGGCCGAATCTGGGCGGCGTCGCCCGCGTGGATGATCAACCGGCCGCGTGTCAATCGGGTATAGCAAAGGCCCCAGGTAAGGGGGCCCGGTTAGTGGCAGGGCCCCGGAGCCCTTACATTAGCATGAGTCATTCAACCAGGTCTGCCGTAGCTGGTGTTTTTTGGGGCGGCGGCAGTTCCGGTTAGTGGAACGGGGCGGGGGGGGCGCCCCCCAGCGCGCATCGCTGGGCCAGGTCCCACTAAACCCAGTTCTGCCAATGCCCGAATCAAAGGGGTCGGCGGTCGACGCCCCCGAGACACTCCACGACCGAAGCATCTCCGACCACGCGGCCCCCAAATTGCCCTCCAGCCCAGAGCCCCTCGAACCCCTGCCGAGCGACGGCGGGGCAGGCTGCTCTCATATGTGGCAGGCCACTACCACCCCGCTCTCCACCCATTGCTGGGGGAAGTGGTTCCCCGACCGCAGCGCCGAGATTCGTCGCGCACCATGGTGGCGCGCGCGGCTGATGCTTTCCACTGCGCCCCCCAGTTGGTCGCGCGGCTAGCGCGTTCCATTGCGCCCCCCGCCAATCTGGTTGCGCGCGCTCTGTCGATCGTTGGTCGAGGGCTGGCCCGCCTCGCGTCCGATGCCCTAGCCCGGCGGCGAACGCGCGTGCAACTTCGGCTGCGAATGCGCAGTTGATGGCGCGCCTCAATTCTTTTCATGCCGCAGGCTCATGGGCGGCCGGCCATGGCACTATGTGGCGGACGGATCTTCCTGGACAGCGACCCTCTGCGAAGATGGGGCAGCGCCGACCCCGGCGAGGACAACCTCGACCTCCGCTTGCGCGCGCACTCGACTAACAACATCCTGCTGTCCAAGAATTGGGCCCCTATCTTCGAGCCCGAGGAAGCGGCGCGATCTCGAAGTTCTCTCGGCTCCAGCACGGGAATTGAGAGCCCGACCTGCAGCGGCGACCGCGGCTGCGGCGTGGAGGTGGGAAGGGGGCCAGTGCCTCCCGAGCGCCGACGCCGTTGCCGAGGCCTGCGACACCTCCGAGGCGCACCTCGCGCACCGCCCACCGTGGCCGAGCAGCGCGGCAAGCCGTGCCAGCCCCTCGCCGACGTCCTCAAGCTCTTGTGACAGTGGCTCTGCGACCGCGGGGTTCTTTGACGCCCTGCCCCCTGGGCGGCATTTCCTCGACGGCCGTGCTGCGTCGGCCGCGCGAGGCGCCTGAGGGGGGGGGGGGGGCGCGGCCAGAGACGCCCTTGAAGATCGCTGTCGGTAGCGCTGTGCCGAGGTCGAGATCTGAGGAGGTCCGCGGCAGCAGCGTGCCAGGCTTCTGGTGCATCGATAGCGTCGCCGAGAGACGCCCCTCCGCAGGTGCTGGTCGCGCCCTCAGAATGAGGGCGGCGGGGCATGCGCGGACTCCTGCGAGTGGTTCCCCGAGGCCGCTGCGCAGCAGTTTGAATGTTTCTGGCCTGGGGGGGCCCGCCATCGTCTCGGCTTGCGGTTCTAGCAATGTCTGAGTCGCGGGCGGCGTCGCCGACGATGGCGCCAGCAACCTGGCCGCGTGCGCATGCGACGGGCCAGTCCTTGCGTGCGGGGGTGCGTCATGGCGGCCGCGCGCCTGCAGTCCAACGCTTCGTAGAATTGGCGTGGGCTTTGATTTCGTCGAGTCGCGCGACCCGGCGGCGCTTGGACGCGGCGGCAGAATCTCGCTCCCAGGCACGCAGCGTTCACGTTATCGCGGAGGGTTCGCAGTTTTCGAAGTCATCCCGGGGGGCGCGCGTGGATCGCTCGTCTACGCGGCGGACAACGAGGCAGCCCAGGCCGTTCTCGATTCACATGTGCGCTGGGGCCTCGCGAGGCAGCGACCTGTGGGCGTCCAAGGAGACTTTGATACAATGTGAACGGGGCCCAGCAGTAGATGTCGCTACGTTCATGAATCCACATGCGTCTCGAGCTGAAGGCCTTAAAAGTGCATTGCCCTCTGGGTGCTCGAGGGCAATGATCGCGCCGACTCCGCAGCCGGAGATGCTGCGGACGCGGCGTGGGTGAGCGAGGCGGGCAGGGCAACGGCGCCGCTTCGCCAGAGTCGCGCGGGGCTCGTTCGGAGGCGCCTCGCCCAGGCGGCCGTGGATTGCATGGCCGCCGACCCTCGGTCGAGATATGCGATGCAGGCAGGTCCTCGCCTGGTTCCGCCCGCCCCTGCGCTGGCTGTTCGTAGTTGCGCCTCCTTCGCGCCCCGCGAAAGGAAGGCCTTCCGCGTTCTGTTCGCGGAGGGCCGCGCCCGAGCAAATTAGCCTGACGCAGGGCCCAACCGTGTGCAAGTGCAGGTGCCGTCGCTGCGTGAACCGCCTTCGGTGGAGCTCCTCATTGGGCCGCGCAGCTTTCGAGGGGCGTGCCGACATGGGCGCGGTGGGCGCGTGCGAGCGCTGGCATCTGGGCCTCGGCGGGGCTTCCAACGTGGCCGCGACGCGTGTGGGGGGTGTGCCGAGATGGGCGCGGCGGGCGCGTGCGAGCGCTGGCATCTGGGTTTTCTCGAGGTTTCCGCGTGGGGCCACGAAGCGCATGAGGGGCGT